GCTAGCTACTTCCATCCAGTCCTACTCTGGACCTGGGTCCTACATGTTCCAGACCTGGACGTAACAGCACATCCTAAACAGATCCATCTTCAGGAGCAGACTCCCAGTAGTCAACCTCACCAAGACAGATGGAAAAAACCAGAATGGACATTTGGTTAATTAAAACAAAAAACCAGAATTGCCAAGACTGGCATCCTTTGGCAAGCACGTTCCTGATGGGAAAACTCTAAAGAAAGCTCAATTTGAAATCTTTAAAGTGCTATGGAGCATGGAATTAGAATGAAAGGTCTTTGCTACAGGAGTCATGTCTTCCCAGACTCCAGGCTAATGTGGTCTTCCTTAAAATAGGGATGCATGTGGTCCCAAAAACACATAGGTTAAAATTTTTAGGTCAGGGCATACCACCCCTGACGGCATTTAGGAGGGCACTGCCAACATCTGCATCCAACTTTCTCTCCTGTTGGTCTTTCACGACCAACCACGAAGTCCCATTCAAAACAACACATTCTTACTTTAGATATATCAGTATCTTCAGGGAGGTCTCAAAGTGTTAATAATCTCACAGACGGTCATCTCAAATATTTGTTGAGATTCTATTAAGTACCAGGAACTGATTGGGTAGGGGAGAGACAGTAGTTAACAACACAGACAAAAAGCCCTGGTCCCATGGGGTTTACTTTCCCTCTATTTTAACTTCTACTACTCTGCCTCTTTAAGATGACTTTGTACTATGGGCTGATCTCACATGTTAATTCTCAGAGAAAATTTTATTCTCATTTGTGACTGTTGCCATTATGTACTGTCTATAAATACAAAACAACAACAACAACAACAGAAAACAAAAAGCAAAACCAGGCAATATCCTCTATTAGGGTTTTGGAAAAGGACAAAAAAGATCGAATACCAACAGGTGATTACACTGTTGGAGTCCACAAACAAAAAGTGAGTTTTAGATCATCCGTGAGACACCAAAGTGGTATATTTCTGCCTGTAATTGAGAATATTGTCTTCTCCTAGGAGTAAAACCAATCGAGAGGATTTCAAATGAAAATGTTAGAGAACTGGAAAGGAACATGGGATGAGGAGCTGGGATGTGTGTTCCACAGTCTGCCTCTCCCAATACACAGCCCTGGACTAAGCAGGTCGCCCACATGCCCAGGGCTCCTCCCCTCACTTTTAAGATGACAGGGTCTGAAACCATGAGAGGCTATAGACTCTGAGAAACAAACTGAGGGTTCTAGAGGGGAGGGGGGTGGGGGGCTGGGTTAGCCCGGTGATGGGTATTAAGGAGGGCACGTTCTGCGTGGAGCACTGGGTGTTATACACAAACAATGGATCATGGAGCACTACATCAAAAACTAATGATGTAATGTATGGTGACTAACATAACATAATAAAATTAAAAAAAAAAGATGACAGGGTCTGCCTAAATCCCTAAGACACCAACAGCTGGGAAATACCATGATCTCCCTTGATAATAGGAACCAATCCTTACTCATCTCAATCTCCCTTAAAGGGCCTTGGGCCACGCCCCCCACATAAAGCCACTGCATAAATAACTGCTTAATCCAACACAGAACCTATTATAACACCAGAGTGGCAGCTGAAGTCACCGATATTCCAGATAAGATGTGTAAAAATTTGTGCTGTTTTTTAGCTACTGAACCCTTTATTCACCTAGCCTTGCTCACTAGGTTCGTCTCAAGAGCCGTCTGCACAGCCAAGAACTTCTTCAATGGCTGCACCGAGAGACCCTTTGCAACCTTACCAGCACGACCCTGCAGCACCCAAGAGTTCCACATCTCTTCCTTTCCCTGCAGGGAAAGGGCCTTCCCTTCCAGGCCTCCCCGCTCTCCTGGCCGCTCCTCTTGCCCCGGCTTCTCCTTCTCGGCCCTCCTCCTCACCACCAGCCCCCCCCGTAAACGGCATTTTGCAGGACAGCCCCGGCCCCCTGCTTAAGGTCACTGGCAGGGTCATTGTAAATGAGATGGCTCACAAACCAACCGTGCTTCAGCCCAAATGGAGAGCAGCCCACGGGGCTCTTCGGACACCCCCAAGGATCTCAGAGTGAGAAGTCTAAAGCCAACCTTTCATCCTTCTTCCTCGTGATAAAACCTGTCCTCTGCATTAAGCAATTTGATGAATCGCCTTCTTTTCATCAACTGTCCACTTGCTCCACCATCAGATTTAATCAAGGACCAATCCTTGCTGACTCCATCCTCTGGAACCTGCCTTTCTTAAATCCCTGCCTTTTCCCCGCCGCGTTGGTGAGGTCCTAACCCCTCATGTGGTCTCTCAGCCTCAAGTCTCTTTATTTACAGCTCTCTACCAGCTATCGATACTTGTTTCTTTGTACCGCTAACCTGCAGGCATCTGTGAGTTCTCCGTACTAGACTGTAACTTCTTTGGATATAGAAACCTTGTCCTTATTTGTCCTATCATCACCTGTCGTAACAGCGTGCTGTGTACATAATAAGGGCTCAATAAATACACTTTGGCAATAAAACATGGATTCTCTTAAAGTGACTGCACTTACCCCCTCAAAGAGCAGCTTGTTAGATAATTAAATATTTACTCTAACTTTCTCCCAGCCCATTAACAATGTTATATAAATACACAGACCATACACACAGACACACGCACACACAGGATGCTCTTAACTCCCTTTAAGTCAATCATCTTGCAAACGCCAAGAGATGATCTATCTCCTAAATAACTGAGACATAAATTGGTTCATATTTTTCATTCCTGGTCCTCCTTGAGAAAATGACACAATGCTCAGTAGCAAATGAGAAATTATTTTGCAAATCTATAACCCCCAAATCCCCCCAAACATGGGTCATGCATCTTTCTTGTATTTTGATCCCACTGCTGTGACTTAGTGTGGTAATTATATTACAAAGCTATTATTCGATGAAATGAAAATGGCAAAACACTTTAAATGCCTGTCTAAAAAAACTCTGTTAGAATGCAATTATAAGTGAAATTACAATGGCAAAATAATTGAAATGCGAGTCCGGAAGGCACAGTTATGAAACCATTAAAATGCTTCTGCTGAGGGCTCGCAACGTTGAGTGAAACCATACGCTCCTGGGGACACATTTTTAATTCACTAAAGCAGTCAACATTCGTGGAAAGATGAAAATATCTGGGCTTCGATTTTTCCACCGCATTCTCTACACTTCTGGGTGCCACCTAGGGGTGTGTTAACATCATCGGGGTTTGCAGGTTTCTGGGATGGACTGACTGATAAGAGAACCGTGGGCGATACTGTGCTTCCATTCAGCACCAAGAAGATAAAGGCACAAGGGCAAGCTTAGTTTAGATTTTCCTGAAATGTTTCCAATATAGAAGCTAGGATCACAACGTGAAAAGATGTTTGTCCTAAAATCAACCTTGCAATTATTAAATATGTGTGTGGATATATTTCTAAGGATCTAGCTTCTTAAAATGTTCTGCTGATGTATTCCTTTTGCAAAATCTTGATCAATATTTTGATGCCAAAATAACTTACAGTAGTTATATCTGCTCACCAAAAGAAAAAAGCAAAGACAAAATACAGTGCTAGATACACAAGCGATACACTGAAATGATCAATTTGACAAATGGCTAAGGACCCTCCTCTGAACCATGTTCTGCATTTTGATGGCTGAACACACAGATGAGTCTACCAGCAAAAACATGCAAAATATGCCCCATTCCCACCCTCTCTCCCTCACAGTCTGCTTCCATGGATCTATCTCACTCAGTTAATTGGCTAAAGAAAGAGAGGCTAGGAGGGAGTCATATAAAGAAACAACTATTAAAAGAATAAGATCCTTTTCTCATTCATGATTTTCTCTCTCACGACATCACAGAGCAGGTTAGAAAATGGCATTCTGGGGTGCCTGGGTGGCTCAGTTGGTTAAGTCTAACTCTTGATTTCGGCTCAGGTCACGATCAGGGTGGCGAGATCAAGCAAGGGAAATAAGTGGGAATGTTAACTAAGGCTTTGTAACAACGTGAACCTTGAGGGCATGGTAACTTAATTTTGTTTAATTTATTTAATTAATTAACTTACTTATTTATTTTAGAGAGAGAGTGTGTGCGCAAGCATGTGCAGGGGGAGGGGTGGAGTGAGGGTGAGGGAGAGAGAGAGAATCCTGAGCAGACTCCACGCCCAGCACCGGGCCCGACGTGAGATTGTGACCTGAGACAAAATCAGCTGTCAGATGCTTAACCGACTGAGCCACCCAGGTGCCCCATGGTAACTTTAAAACAAAAATCAAATCTGCTATCTAGATATTTTATAGAGAGGTCATATTATTTTTACACATATAATTTAGATGTTAACAGGATTTGAAAGAGATTTTAAAATTACATGAGGAGGTTTTTCCAGTTTAGGCACAAAGGTATGGACTTTGAAAAAGATAGAAAAAGTCATCTAGAGAAAATTCTATGAATAAGACTAACTGAAAAAATAAACAAGCGAACATATACATAGATCATAGAAAAAAAATTAGCAGGGCCCCCAAAGTATTTAAATCGCAGTATTACACATAAAATTTGAAATTTGAAATCACATTTGCCAGAGTTTTATAGAATTAACCTCTATATTTAGGAAAGTACTCAAATAGGTTTTCATATGATAATTTTATTAACTCCCAAAGGCATATCTTTGGATGTTAATAAAGGAGAAACCAGTAAAACATTTATCATATGGTAAGTTAAAATCTATTGCCCTAACTTTGAAATGCATAATGTTATAAGTTGGATTGATGGATGGATAGATGATAAAGAAAATATGGTATTAAATGTTAACTATAGGATCTGGGTGGTGGATATATATGGGCATCCTTGTACAATATTTTTGATTCTTCTGTTATGTTTAAAATTTTTCATAACAAAGTATTGGGGAAAAAAATGCACTGCTCTAGATGAAAAGTATCTATTCTATTTGTTAACTGTGCTCAACAAATAATCCGGGTTCAGAGTTTGTCTCACGGACACAGTGTACTCACCTAGCCATCCGGACCCTGAATTTGGAATGCATAGGTCTGTCTCCGCGCTGGGCAACACGAAGCCAACAACAAACACCTCCACGCCGTCCGCCATCAGGGCCATGCCCAGGACAAAGAAAAGGGCCCACTGGAAACGGCCGTGACCACACTCTTGGATTATCAGCTCATACTGCTGGGCTAGTTCTTCCTCATCGGCTTTCCTCTCTGACTCCAGCTCCTGCCGGTCCTTGTGCACATCGCCCTTGGGCTGCCCCACGGACACAATGCTGTCCTTCCCTGGGTTCATACGGGGGATGCCCTGATACTCCCCTTCATAGATTTCCTCATCTTCATCATGACCCTCAGTGGCTTCACTGGAGCCTTCATCATCGTTGGCCTCCCCACTATAGGTCTCTCCCGGCGGGGAGCAGTCATCGTCCTCTTCATCTTGGAACCGACTGTAGGACCTCTGCGTGTATTCATCCTGGGCCCGGTCCACTGCCTGATTCACCTTCTTGACTGTTTGTTTCTTCACCTCTCGGGCTATGTCCTTGGCGCCCTTCATCAGTGAAGTCCTATCCTTGTAAGAGTCTTGCATCTTATCTCAACCGATGGCCAACGCGAAGATGGGACTTCTTCAGACTCCGGTCAGTGGTTCGGCCCTGACTGCATCATCCACTTTGGGGTCAGAACAGAGCTGCAAAAGAAGAAAAACCACACAAAATATTTAGTATTCCTTTCTTGTCTTTTTTACCATTTACTTCTCAATCTCTTTTCACTGCCCCCTCAGACTAAGATGCAGAATTAGCTTTTCCTTTCTTTGATCTCACTGTCCACATGCACACCGGATAATGACTCTCTGCCCAGGTGTGACTGGCGCTTGGAATACTTACAGGTTTTACTGTTGTTATTATTATTATTTGGTGTTTAAGGAACTCTGTCCTCTGGGAACTTTGATAGAATACACAGGCCTTCCCCCAGAGAGTAAAACAGGACATCTGGCGCCTCTAAAAGTACACTTAACACATTTTGCAAGTGTTATAAAGATATACTCTGATGGAGAAAAATAGTATTGCTCAGAGACATACACACACTGCAAAGGCAAAACCAGAATATGAGAAGAATCCTGTCTGACCTTATTTCCTAATAGTGAAAAAAACCCCAAAATTGCAGGCAAGCAGCCCTATACACGATGCTATTGGATCATATATATATATATTTGTAAAATTCGTTTCCCCTCTACTTCCATTATATCTCCTTCCAATAAATAACAAAGACTCATATGGCACCCAAAACCGCAACTGAGTATTTCCCCCTAGCATAACCACAGGACATGGACAGAATTCATCAAATGACTTCAGATACCTTTGATAAACACTGAATTGGAACATACAGTTTGTCTAGTCAGGGTCTGTCCTTTCAGAGGCCACCCCCAGGCTAGCAGGGACAGGTAAGCGGCATGCCATGTCCCTTCACAACCCTGCCCCGTAAGTACTCCAAGCTTTGTCTCTACCTTCTTCGTCTCTGGACACACACACACACACACACACACCCCTTGTCCTACTGGCACTCCAATTAACTGCTGTCTTGGGTACCAGAGTCATGGGTCTCCCGTGACCCACCATTTGGTTTTCTTTCTCACTGAGATCACCCTATGTCTTGGCTTACGTTCGGGCTGAACACATGGTAACTGATCTTTCCCTTGTCCACTGTGCTGTCTCCTCTGGTGGCCCACCATTTGGAGAGATGATGTAAAGGTGAGAGTCACTCTCCTCCATCATTCACTCCCCAAGCTCTACTCTGTGGCAGCGTTGCAAACCATGAGTTACATAATAGCCATTTCTACCTTCTTTTTGTACCCAGTATAAAACACTTGATAAGTAGCTATACAAACATATACTTAAACGGCTCATTTCTGAATGACAAACAAACCCAGCAATAAAGACAAAAAGATGTTTGTTTCTAAATGGACTGTGCATTTCATGTTACCACTGAATGACTACAAATGCCCAGGAGGCAAACAGAAGCATGGTTCTGCACAGCCCTGTGTTTTGGAAGACAGCAAAATGAAATTAAAATAAACATATGATTACAAGCCTTTTTGCCAAATGTCTTAATAGAGGGTTTTTCTGTATGTCCTCCTTTTTCTTTTTCTTTTCTTTCTTTCTTTTTTTTTTTTTTTTTTTTGGAGAGCTGAGAGTCAGGGGCAGGGAGAGATGGGAGGATCCATGAGCTGAGTAAGAAAAGATGAGCAGGCAGTTAGAAAAGAGTTTGAGGATGGAGGCTCAGAGACTCAAATGATATACCTCTGTTTCATGGTGAATCGCTGAGTTACATGTGCCAGACATCATTTTAATAAAAAACAGTTTGATTTCGTGCATACTCTATGCCAGACATTGTGCCAAGACCTCTCTATACATTTCTTAATTTTTTCATTTAATCCTTACTTCAATCCTCCAAAATAGGTATTACAGTCTCCATTATACAGGTGGGAAGATTAAGGCTTATTGAGATTAAAAAAGTGGCCCAGGGTCACAATGTCAGTGGAGGTGCTGGGGCTCCAGCCCAGATGTGTCTGACTCCAAAGACTTGCCCCTTACCCCTCTCTGCTTCACCCAGTGCTCTTGCTAAGGTCTTACGAAATGCAGTAGCATGCTTCCGGGTCATTCTGATAGCTTGGTTTCCTACACAAAAAATTGTTTTATAGCCTCTTGCCTAAATCATCTTGTAGGTTCTGAAACAAGGGGAACTATTGTGATATCTTCACTCATGATAGGTTTTATATAGATAATAATTCCAAAACATGGTCTTGTTGGTTCAGATGAACCATCCCAACATGATGGCTGTACTTCAAAAGATAATCCTGTAGTCATTCTAAGATGTCCGTGGCCAAGAAGGGCAGGAAAGAAGGCAAAGCAATGAACCTCCAACCGCCTCCAGTCAAGTGCAGATGCCCGTTCCCCGTAATTCAAGACGGTGTACTTCTCTGTGAAATAAGGATAATGACATAACCACCTGGCAGTGTTGGGAGGATTAAAAAGTGGTGTTTACTCTGTGTCTAGGAGGAAATTTGACATATATTTTGTGATTTTAATTCAGGTTCCCTAGGAACAGAACCCGCGATAAGGAATCAGGGGCAAATCATTTATTAAGAGGAGCTGGTAAAGGAGGGGAAAACTGAGGCTGGACAGCAGTTTGAGGCAGGATCCTGGGGGGTGAGCTTCAGCCTCTGCTCAGTGTTATTCCCACTCAAGGCAAAGGTATGGGGCTTTCACACTCCCACTCCCGCCCATTGTTGGCTAAGGGCCACCCGGGGTGAGGATGGACTGTAGGCACTTCCAGCTCTCTGCACCCAAATCTAGGCAGTTCCCGGGGTCCAGGGACAGTCCTCTGAAGGGATACAGATGCTGGCTGGTGGAAGCAAAGGCCCACTGGAGCCAGGGGAGGAGAGCGGAGACAATGAAGGGGATCCAAGAGTATCTAGGCAGAACATTGACAGGATCTCCTACAATAACCATTTAATAGCTACTTGTTTAGATGCCCTGCTAATCATACTAAGCAGTAAGACCCAGAGCTGGTTAAAACCTATATTTACAGAAGTGGCTGTTACAACTGAATAATATATACAGCACAGTTTATCTGATGTAGTTAATGACATGCACAAATCAGCTCTATTTCCATGTGTGTGACAATCATTTTGCACAAATAATAATTTATACACATAAACGAGAGTTATTCTGGCAAAACAGAGTTTCAGTTCTTTTTTTTTCTTTGATGATTCATGCCACACAGCGTATATTCACTCACACCACATACTATATCAAAACCATCCCACACGTGTTCCCGTCACGAACAACCCTCCCCAACACACACACAGATGTTTCTCTCAGTTTCCCCACACTGTCCCCAAACCTCCAGTCCTTCCTTCTGTTTTACCCCTCATCACTACCATCATCAAAAGATGTGGGAGAGCGCATCCTCACCAACACCTTCTGGGATCTTCTGGATGCTGGGAAAGTCCATCATTTTAATAACTGTATTTATGCAGCTTTGAAGCCATTGTGCACAGAGTAATGATAGCAATTATAAGAGCTCACCCACTATTACATCGGCCTTGTGCTAAGCACTTCAGAGGTATTATCAGACAACAAGAATCTTAACAACGGTCATATGCTTTTAAAATTTTTAATAAATAAAAAAAATTAAAATAAATTTCCCATTTTACATGTGGGAAAACTGAAACCTGCCCAGTAAGAATTCGCACTTACACAAGCCTACTCCAAAGCCCAACCACCTACACTGTATCTACCAGCAATTAGTAGAAATGGGAGCCCATGAGGGCAACAGAGATCTGAACCTGCAAAGTTGGGGCAGAGGACAGCCCCACCTCCCATGCCTGGATGATAGAAACGCTCAAAAGTACTTGCAGGTCTCTAGCACTTTGGGGTTGGAGGGAGGGGTCATTATCTAACAACCCTCTTTCCCTCCTGAGTTCGGATCTAAAGGAGACATTCAACAGAGGAGATAAATTGTGATCAGTTAGCAGCTGTTGGAGAATCACACCCACACTTTATCCCTGACGCCACACCTTCTTCCCAGCCCTGGGACTCTGTACCACGAAGGACTCCTTCCTGGAGGGAAGGCTGTCCAGGGAACTCTCCATGCTGCAGGAGTAGCAGACCTCGTAAGCACCTCCATGGGGCTGAGGCCAGCAGGCCAAGGTCTTTCCCCCAGTTTGCCAGAGAAATTGCTCCTTCTTTCTTGGGGAGGAGTCAGGGTATGTGCATGGGTGGTAAAGGGAGAAGCTGCAAGTGTTTTTTGTTTTTTTTTTTTCCCCCACATCTGTCTCTCCTGGGAAGCAGTGGAAATCCCTGTACCTGAGTGGAAGTCGAGAAGTGGGGAATAATGCTTCGCCTTAAGTCAGTGCTATATAATTTGGTCAGGACAATAACAGAGCACACTAGCCACCCCAATGAGAGCCTTATCACTTTTTATCTCTTATGAGATAGAACATAAAACTAATGACATGTGATGACATTATAGTAATGCCACAAAATAGAGCTTCATTAAAACAAAAAGGCAATGACATGAACATTAAAATTTGCAACAAGTCCAGAAATGTTTTGAGGGACTCTATAATGCATTAGTCCAAACTAATATACACTTTAATCTATGATTCGTGTCAGAAAGAAAGGCAATACTTAGTATTCACCACCCACATTGCAAGTAGGGCTGATTGAAAACAACTAGATACCTCTTTATTAAGGCTGTTTCACATGTCTAAAGATAACGATTTTTTTAAAAGGCTTACAATTTCATTGAGGTATAATTTACATTGAATAAAATGCTCTGGTGATTATTAAAAGAACATAGTGCAACGGATATGGTGCAGAACACCAGCTAGATTATGAAGATGCTTATTCTGGCAGAAAACATTGGTTGAAATGCTTATTCAGCACAGGTTTGAAACCTCTGGACCTTCTAGTAACTGTCAACAAAAAAGAACAGCATATCTGAGCTCTGGACTTTGGTGGAGAAAGATGAGACAATGGACATGGCCTTGTAGGAGCTCTAAGTATTACGTAAGAGTATCCATACTGCCTGACCTTGTGCGATAGAGACACTATTTGAAGGTGACTGGAGTTAAAATGCAGAAATGCATATCTGCAGCAAGACACCCTTCTGAAAAGAAGCTTT